AGGCTCAGGGGTCCAGGATTATCTTCTGTGTCTGTGTTAATTGGTGTCCCTTTTCTTTGTTGAAGAGGGTCTGTGCAGTCTTTCTGCCTAGTCCACCATCTTGCCGGCCAACCCCAGCACTTTGTGTTTTAACAGATAGACTCAAAGTGACCTTTTTTTCCCCTTAAATGAAGCACATGTTGTTTTCTTCAGGAACAACTTTGCCCAATGCAGCAGCTTCAGAGAGTACCACAATTCTAAAATAATGAGGCCTTTTTAGGTGCTTTTCTGTAAAACTACAGAGTGTTTGAACATACTATTAGCTTTCTAATAATAAAAGATAAATTTAAATGCAAGTAAGACTTCTTATGATCTGTCCCTTGACTTATCTCTCCAGACTTACTCTTCAGTCATGTCCTATCATGTCCTAACCTACCTCCAGTCATATTACACTCCTAAGAAGCACCCACCATACACACACACACTCTCTCACTCTCTCTCTCTCTCTCTCTCCCTCCTTCCCTCCCTCCCTCTTTCTCCCTCTCCCATCCCACACTGATGTATGCCTGGAAAACACAGTCACACTTTAGATCTTGGTTCAGAGGGCAGTTTCTCTAGGAAGAGCCATCTGAGTTACCACCTCTGCTTTTATCTTTACCAAATCTAGACTAGTCACTCCTGCCCCAGGTTCCCATGCGTGCTGTACTTCTCCCTTTGCAACATTTACTGCGTTGCAAAGTCTTGCTGACTGTGCTATTCTGTAGATTGTAAACTACTCAAGAGAATAGAAGTCATCAGTCTTAGTTGTAAATGTAGCCTGGGTGCATAGCACAGAGTCTGTCATATAATAGGTTATCTATCAGTATTTAAGGTGTTGAACTCAATTTGAATCATCTTGCCCATTTCTTTTAGAATCCTTATTAAATCCAACTTTATGTCATGTAGCTTTGAAGTCAGACATTTTCCAATAAAATTATAAAGATGAACTGTCTCAAAAAGTTTTCTTCATAATGGGCAATTTCAACCATTACTAGTATCCTGCAATACATTGCATGTCAGCTAATTAAAAGAATTAAAAATACCTACTGTGGCCAACAGCAAATACATAAATACTTAAGAAGCCCCTCCTAGATGTATGTTCTTTAAAAAACAGGCACCATGGAGCATTCAGCTTGGGATCTCCAGTGTCTTCATGTGGTGCCATAGGGTTAAAATAATGAGCACAGAAGCTGTATTCATTCTGTGGATCTTCTTAATGGTTGAATGTGAGTTACCAGAATACACTAGGGGAAAAATTACAAATTTTTATAGTAGTAAAATTTGATTTAATACTACATCTACTTTTGAAGAAAAGGTTCTAAGTATTTTTCCTAGGAGAACAATTTAAATACTAACTGTATATTAAAGTCCAGAAGAATGGGCAAATGAATTTTAGAAGAAGTACAACCAGAATGCTCCTTAGAAGTAAGGATGGTCAGACTTTGGATGTGTTATCAGGAAAGACTTATTTTTAGAAAAAGACATCATATTTGGTAAAACAGAGAGTAAGCAAAAATAAGAAAAACTCAGAATGGAGACAGATTGACACAACCTCAGTGACAGGCTTAAACATATCAGAGATCATCTCCGTGAGATGGCACAGGATCAGGAAACATTTTATTCTGTTGTACGTAAGGTTTCCATGAATCTGAGCCAATTTGATGGCAACTAAACACATCTATTAAGTACATTAAGTGATACAGTATTTGCTATCTAGAGGATTTCAAAAGCTAACATCCTCTAGAGTATACATCTTAAAGGATGGTGATCATCTCCCACAAATAGAATGCTTAGGTAGAAAAAGTCTAACACCCTCTTGTTGTTGTTAGCTGTGGTGGAGCTGGGCCCTGACCCTTGACAGTCCCATGCACAAGGGAATGAAATGCTGCCTGCCCCTGTGCCATAGGGTTTTCATTGCCTGATTCTCAGAATTCGATCACCAGGTCTTATTTCTGAGCACATTTTGGTCTGGAAGCTTTGCTGAAATCTGTTCAGCATCATAGCAACACATTGGCTGGGAATTGAACCTGAGTCTTTTGTCTGGAAGGCTTGAATTCTGCCAGTGAACCACCACTGCCTCCAGCACTTCCTTAGAGAGGTGCCAAGGGGAGGAAAAAATAAACCTGAGAAGCACTGTTCTACATACAGTGTAAATTTGTAGTTCTATTTTCTTTGGCATCTTTCTGTACTTTCTAAATGATTTAATTGTAATATTTCCTTATATCCATACTCTTTTTGAGTTAATTATTTAATAATCTTTAGGTTGCTTTTTTTTGTTAATGGTATACTAAAAGCTTATTTTAAGGTTACTGATTCTTAAACAAATTTTTAAAAAATATATTAATGCAACATACTGCTGTTACTTAGAGTTTAATGCATTTGGCCTCTAGTAGTTCTTGATAACTGTTTTGTTTAGTTTTAAAATGATGATGCTTATTATTCTTTAATTTGTTTTCAAAGATACCCCAACATGAGGACAAAAGGAACCATACTGAGAAGTCAGTCACTCTTACTACACAGGAAGATTCCAGAAAGCCAAATGATCTTTCCAGTTCAGCTTCAGATACCAAAATAGGAGAAGGTGATAGACAGCCAAAAGAAAGCTTTTTCCAGTTTCTTGGTAACCTGTTTAATATCTCAGGAAAATCATCTCTTGGTGAAAGTAAACAGTCTTCTTCCAGAGATGACCATGACAAAACTGAGAAAGATTTACCAAATCTCAGTGACCGGCATGAGGAAGAAATCAAAAGGGAGAAAAAGATTTTCAGTACTCTCAATGGAGCTCAGATGCTTCCAACAGAACGAGATTCCAACTCAACTGAACTCTCAGATGCCTTTTCTTTGGATGCAGCACAAGACAGTGAGCAGGAAACCAGTGATTTGCTAAAGTAAGTTTAAAATTTAATAAAGGTCTTTGACCTGGCTTTTTGGTTCTCAGTTCCAATCCTCTTAACTGAAGGGAGTTATAAAAGCATTCTATAATGTTCCTAGAAAACCAGTTATTGTAGATTCAAAGATGGAGACCCTATGCAGGAATAGAACTGTGCTTTATAAGGTTTATTACTGATTTTTCAGAATTAGGTTGCCAAGCCTTTTCTTTCAAGGTACCTCTGGGTAGACTCTAACCTCTAACATTTGGTTAGCAGCTGAATGCATTAAATGTTTTCACTACCCAGGAACTCTGTAATGTCCCTACTACAGTCTAAAGATTTATGTGTTTCTGTTTACCATAGGAGTAGTAACATAGGATGTGTTTTAGTTGCTCTAAGTGGTTAAGAAATTAAATTGATAATATCTGTGAAACTAGCTTTACAAACCTTTCCCAACGATAGAAGAAATTGAAATCTTTCATGAATTAAGGAAGCATTCTACCCTTTCTCTCTTTCTTTGATTAACAAACAGGCTTGAACTTGTTTTGCTTTTCCTCATATGATCAAGGAGGAATATCTTCTACCTGAGAAACATTTATAGCATCGTTGAGCCCATTAAACATCTTATGTAACATACAAGTATTCATTTGTAGCTAACAAGATTCTGAAATATGCCAAGAACTTGAGTTAGAAAACCAAAAGGGAAAAATACACTTGGCATTTCTCATGCTGAAAGAACAAAGGAAACATTCAAGCCTTGAGTTGCAATTTTGAAGGATTCTATGCGCAGAATATTGAACGATGCAGGAAGCATCCAAAAAAAAAGATAGAAGTAATACAGAGTCACCATACCAAAAATGATGAAGAACTGATGGTATTGAAAGAAGAATGTGAGCAGCACTGAAAGAATTGGCAAAAAACAAGGCTCCAGGAATTGACAGAACCACCATGAAGATGTTTCAACAAAAGGATGCCGCGCTGAGGACACTCACTCGTACATGCCAAGAAACTTGGAAGACAGCTACGTGGCCAGCTGACCGGAAGAGATATGTATTTGTGCCCATTCCAAAGGAAGGTGATATAGTAGAATGTGGACATTATCTAACCATATCAATAACATCACATACAAGTAAAATTTTGTTGAAGATAATTTAAAAACAGTTATAGCAGTGTATTGACAAAGAACTGCCAGAGATGCAAGCTGGATTCAGAAGAGAATGTGGACTGAGGGATATCATCATTGATGTCAGATGCATCTTGACTGAAAGCAAATAATACCAGAAAGATATTTACCTCTGTTTTATTGACTGTGCAGTGACATTCGACTATGTGAATCATAACAAATGATGAATAACATTGCAAAGAATGGGAATTCCAGAACACTTAATAGTGCTCATGAGGAACTTGTATGTAGATCAAGAGGCAGTCATTGGAGCAGAACAAGGGGATACTGCATGGTTTAAAATCAGGAAGGGAATGCATCAGGGTTGTATCCTTTTATTACACTTATTCGCATGTATGCTGAGCAAATAATCCAAGAAGACAGACTATGTGAAGAAGAATACAGCGTAAGGATTGGAGGAGAACTCATTAAAAACCAGTGATATGCAGATGACACAACCTTATTTGCTGAAAGTGAAGATGACTTGAAGCACTTACTGAAAAAGATCAGGGACTACAGCCTTCAGAACAGATTACATCTCAACATAAAGGAAACAAAAGTCCTCACAACTGGACCAATAAGCAATATCACAATAAATGGAGAAAAGATTGAAGTTACAAGAATTTCATTTTACTTGGATCTCCCATCAATGCTCATTGAAGCAGCAGTCAGGAAATTAAGTGACATATTACATTGGACAAATCTGCTGCAGAAGACCTTTTTAAAATGTTAAAGAGCAAAGATGTCACTTTGAAAACTGAGGTGCTCCTGACCCAAGCTATGGTATTCTCAGTAGCTGCATATGCATGTGAGAGCTGAACAATGAATAAGGAAGACTGCAGAAGAACTGACGTTTGAATTGTGTTGGCAAAGAGTCTTGAATGTACCACAGACTGCCAGAAGAATGAACAAATGTGCCTTAGAGGAAATATAGCAAGAATACACCTTACAAGCAAAAATGGCCGGACTTTGTGTCTCTTACTTTGGTCATGTTTTTTGAAAGGACCGATCCCTGGAGAAGTATATCATGCTTGGTAGTATAGAAGGTGAGTGAAAAAGAGGAAGACCCTCAACAAGGTGGATTGACACAGTGGCTGCCACAGTGGCTCAAGCACAGCAACAATTGTGAAGATGGCACAAGACCAGGCAATGTGTCGTTCTTTTGTATGTAGGCTTGCTGTGAGTCAGAACCACTTCAAGGGCACCTAATAATAGCAACATGTTTTAAATATTGAAGTTGCTTCGATTGCATGATAGGAATTTAGGAAAAGCAAGGACATAGTTAATTTTTTAAATTCAGATTTTGAGAATATTTTAGATATAAAATATTGGTTATAATTAAGAACATCTACTTTTGAAATTACTAGAGGATTTAAGTTTCATGTAAAATTTTTCATGTTTTTAGTAGTGAAGAATGAATTAACAGAAGATTTTGCATTGTGTTTATCATTTGAAAATGTCCATTCTTTTCTTTTTAAGTCTTCATAATTATATATATTAAAAAAAAATCCCTGCCATCATGTCAGTTCCAACTCAGAGTGATCCTATAGCACAGACTAGAACTGCCCAACAGGGTTTCCAAGGCTGCAAAGCTTTATGGAATTAGATTGCCGCCTCTTTTTCCTGTGGAGCAGCTGGTGGGTTGGAACTTCCAACCTATTGGTTAACAGGTGAATGCTTTATCCACTGCACCACCAGAGCTCCTTGATTATTAGGGTGTCTTAAAAAGTATGAATGGCTTAACTTAGACAAATTAATAAAATAATGTGTTGTATAAGACTATTACTGTAATATGAAATATACATTCCTTGTAATGATCATTAATACAATTTTAATATTTTGTTTAGTGTTTTGAAGTGAATTAGAGAAAATTCTCACCAAAATGCATTGTCCGTAATTTTACCTTCCCTTATCTAAAAATAATGAACAGCTTTGTAATTGATTCTATGGATAGTTGAGTATGCAAATTTTTCTTCTAATATCCATAAAACCTTTAAGAAAACCTTTTTAATATTTTTTAGATTGTTTTCCAAACTTTAATTCATGAGTCTCATGTAATCTCTATAGCAGCTATGTTATTTCTGAATTAAAGTAAACAAACAAAAGAGTTCTATATTGTAATTCATAATTTTTCACATGTATATGTTCATCATAACGAGAACATGTCCTGTCAAAGTTCTCTTGTCATTTTTCTCCCTCACTTGCTGGTTTTACAGTTTTTCTTTACATAAAAAAGTTAATAAACTTCCCTATTGTAACCAAGGATATTCCTAACTGTGTAATTTGAAAAGAAATAGATCTTAAAGCTAAAAAAGTAGCTTAACCATATTTTCCTAAAAGTGAATTGCAAACCATTGCTGTAAGGCTAGTTACTCTTTTCGGGCTGCTATTACAGAATTTTCTTTGTAGAACGACACATATCTTTGGTTGACCTTAGTCTTATCAAGTGGATAAAACTTCTTTGGAAAGATTATAGCTATGTGAAGTAACTGGAGGCTTAATAAAGCTTCCGATGATGTGTAGTTATGTCTTTGACTAAAATGCATAATACCTTGATGCTATATTATGATGTATATGTGATATGTATAGTACATACAGATATGTAAAATTTTAATACTCTCCTCTCTATATCCAGCTTAAAAATAAACCTTTAAAAATTTATTTTCATCTTTAATATTTTTAAAGTTATATGTTTCAGCATTTCGGTATCTTTTATACTTTATTAATTAGAGAAAAAAACATAAGAATTAAAGGATAGTTTTATGTACTTAAAATGCTATTCAGTTATGGTGACTGAACTGCAGTCTGAAAGAATCATGTAGAAGATAGATTATATTGGAATGACTAACTTTTTCAAAAGTGGGAGTGTAGCTCATAAGTACCTGAAGGGACTAATTATAATTCATCAAACTAAGCTTACAGCTTTGATGTTCAGTGCTTTAAACATGATAATATAGTTTAGTATAAAGGATGCATATATTATTTACACACATAAAACACTTCTACCCAGGATGCTATGAGAAATTCTCTAGTTAAAAATTTAAGCTTGAAAATGAAGTTTACCTGGTATGTAACCATATTATCAATTGAATATGTTGAAAAAAGTCAACATCTTTCAATTTCACATTGTTGTTGAGTGCCATCGGGTTCATTCCGACTCATGTTACCCCATGTGACAGAGTACATCTGCCCCATTGGCTCTTGTTGACTGTTATCTTTATGGCAGCAGATCACTGGTCTTTTTCCCGTGGAAGCCCTGGTAGGTCCATACCACCAGCCTTTTGGTTAGTACACAAGTGCTACACCATTGTGCCACCAGGACTCTTTGGTTTCATATAAACCAATTGTTCTGGTTACCTATTGCTGTTCTGACAAGAATATACCACAAATGGGATGGCCTTAACAAATAGGAGTTTATTCTCTTATAGTTTGGAGGCCTTAAGTCTGAGTTCAAAGTGCCAGGCTCTAGGGACTGGGTGAAAGCCCCTCAGCCTTGGGCTTCAGCTCTGCCTCTTGCTCCCGGCCCACTGAAACTAGAGGCATCTCTACACTCAGGCAGCTACTGACTGCTGAGGCTGATAAGCCCAAAGATGACAAGTAAAAAGGCACAGTCCCGTTGTTACCAAACCACATGGGAGGCCATTCATTCAAGTCCATTAAAAGTCCCAAGGTCAGCAGAGCATGGCAGGCTGCTGAAAAACAACAAGGCTACATGCAGGGTCCAAGCGTGCCATAAGCTAGAGACCATTCGCAAAGCTGTTTCTTATATATGGGAAGTAGACCACATCCCTAAAGCAGCTACTCAGCTGCTTGTGGTAGATCCAGCCATGGAGTTCATTCCCACCAGCTACCCAGCCACTCAACCAGGCACAACCAAGTTGACATAAAACTTTAACTACCACACCAATTTAATATATTTTAGTTCAGACTACCCAGAGGGCTCTAAAAAAAATAGGAAAGCAGTGATTTCTACTCCCAGATCCCCCCCAAAAAAGCACACCCCAGAATTACCAAAAGGCATTATTACTGTGAGTTAAGTTCTAGCAAACTTTTCTCTGTGGTTCATTGTACTAGAAGTCCTTTTAGATCAGAAATTGCATTTGTGCAGTGATGAAAGATAAAATGCACGAGGAGGGAGTTGGTAAGAGGATGACCTAAATATACAACGTTCGAAGAGTAAAATTCTGATCCTTATCTTATTTCTCATTTCCTGTTTCTGTTGACATATGTACACTTATTTGCTTATATCTTCAAAAGTATTTTGGTGATCTGTTGTGGGGTAACATCACACCCTGTTCAAAGTATATTTTAGATATAAGATATTAAAGCTTTATAAGAAGAAATAAACAAAAACAAATTTCATTTACAGACTTTTGGACCTCCATATAATACTCTGAAAGGCTCTTGCATTTTCTGAATAATTTATGTATTTTGATATGAGATTTCACCAGCAACATTAATTTACCTATATGTGTTTTTCTCTTAGATATTTTTATAGATCAATGCTTTACCCAATTTTTTACTTGTAACAGTCTTTGATCTAACCTAAAACACTTGTAGCAGCTAAAACCACTTTTGGAAGGCAAAGCTTTTCTCTACATAGCTTCTACACCTCCTTTATAACAGATCATAAAAATAAATGAATGCAGCTATACAATTTTTTACAATAGAGGTGTGTGTTAGGATTTCAGAGACTAGCAGCAGTTCTAGCTTGAAATGAATTATTTTGGCTAACATTCATGAAGTACGTAAGGGGCACAGTTGAGGTTTTTACTTGTCAAAAGAGGTTTGCTTTCTGTTTTATCATTTAGACAAATGTAGTTTTCTTATTATTGCCTTCAGTTTGGGGAGAATATATAGTTTTTTAGATATTGGAATACTGACAAGGATTTGTTTTATGTATATATTACATGTTAATGTTTTGGTTAATGATGTGTTTAATCTGAAAAAACTAAATAGAACACATATCAAATTCTTCTACCGTACATATTTCTAGTCAGCACACTAAAATATAATAAAGAATTTAGAATTTAAAATATTTTTATACCACCTGTTATATAATCAAAATATTAGTCTGCAATATATTACTTAGCATATGGTATCATTACTTAGTCACTCATTAATTCACAAGTTATTAGAAATATCAAACTTGCCAAATCTTGTGTTGGACTCTTAAAAATACAAAGATTATTAAGACATAACATAGCGCCTGCCCTCAAATAGCCGTCAGGCTGTTGGGGAAAATAAATGAGGCCTAGAACTCTGTAATTTAATGTGGCAAATGCTGCACTCAGTTCTTTGTACTAAAGATCAGAGGCTAAACTGCCTGTTATAGTAGCAGAAGGGTCTTGGGATGGGTTTATGATGAAGGTAATTTGTAAGTTGAGCCTTAAAGGAAGTTAGTTTCCCTCAGGCTAGAATTGAAACAGAGTGAATGCCAAAAGGAAAAAGCTATAAGGAGCATGGCTTGGCCTGCGGTATGTAGACTCTTAAGAAAGTTGGATGCTGAGAAAAACAGAACTTTATGCTGGGTTGATTGTCCACTTTTTCTAGAAATTCTTTTTTATTTACCCTAGCAGAGTAATACACTAATTGAGTATTTGAAGAACTTACCACAATAGAGGAATTAAGGCAATCCTGTCATTTATGGAGTTAAAAAATATTTACTGAGTCCTTACTTTGAGTTAGGCATTTTGCCAGATGTTTTCCTTCAAAACTTCTCCACTTACTTACTAAAATTTGCTGTTCAAATTCTCATCTAAGGGTAAAGTAATTAAAGGTAATTGTGATGGTGTGATATGGTGGAGAAATCATTGCAATGTATCCATTAACCTGGGGTACCAGCATGAGGCACAAAGACAGTTGTGGTTCCTTTGAGTCAAATACTCCTTTGGGATTAGAAGTAGAACCCACACCTTGGACTCCTCAGCCCACATTCTCTTCTTTAACTGCAGTGAGAGATACATTTAATCTGGTGAAAAGAAATACTTCTAAGGAGCTCAGACATTCTTTAACTGTGTTGACATTGATGTGCTGCTTGTCAAATCTTTGTTTTTTAAAAAACAAAGATAAGTTTAACTAAAGCATAGATTTAGGATTTCTTTCCTAAATTAGTACATAGTAAGAGAAGTAGTACTTGAAAGATGTACTTTATCACAATTTCTGGGATTACTATTAAGTGTTGTTAATGGTATTCCCTGATACTCTCATGCTGATTCTTCTTTTACAGACAAACTGATGGTAAACCAGAGAGGCCTTCAGTGACATATGCAACATATCGGGGCCCAAGGCAAATTAGGAAATATTTAAAGAAACAGACTGCACTAGATACTGTGACTCACTTGGATGAAGAAAATGAAAGTTCTGACCCTAATACAAGCACCCACATTGGTCCTGGAATTGAGATTGGGGCTCAGAAGACTCCATTGTTGTCATCATCTAACATAGATGCATCTTTTAAAGGACATTTGCTTGGAGGCTCATTAGAAGACTCTGGTTGTAGCAGAATAAATCTGGACACAGAAAGCCATCTGACAGACAACCCAGAACTGCAAACTGTTGATTCTTCTAAGGATGTTTTAAATAAAAATGACTCTGGGGGACCTGAGAGAAATAGATCATTCCCTTCTCTGACTAATTCCAGCTCCACTGTTGGAGAAAATGACTCACAGCAGCATTTAAGTGGTGTACCAGTTTCTCAGACTGGCAGAAACTTGGTATGTTCAGCTTTGTTTGCAGGAAGTAACAACAGCAGAGTTCCTTGCAGTCCAGATTTTCCAAGGAGAACTACAACAGAAAACACGATAAAAGAAAACAGTTCTATGATGAGTGATAGGACATTGGTGCAGGGACGAGAGCATGCTGAACCTCAGAATGTTACTCCTTCTGAGCTCTCTTGTGGGAAAACTGATGGGAATGACACCACCAAACAGGAAAGTACAAATGTGCCAAGTCCAAATAAATCAGTTAGACATGAAGATCTGCAGTTGCCAGAGAGTAAGTGTTCTGGGACACAGCCCATAGATAATTCATCAAAGCTGGCTGCCAGTCACACCAGCACCACTGCTCTCCAGAGACATGTTGTGACAGACATAGAATGTGTAAATGAAGGAAACAGGTCTACTGCCCAAGATTCACAAATAAATTTAGTTGTTACAGAAATCAGGCAAGAAACTGAAAGCTCCTTTGCTGGTGAACCTACAACTTTAAAAGCTCCAAAAAGTAGAATTGAATCATTACCCCAAGACATTGACAGATTGTTTGCACCAGAAACCAAAAAGCTTGATTTTAAGCCACATAATATAACTCTTCAAACTATTAGAATAAATCAAAAGGACTCTGCCCCTTTAAAATGTGTCAGTGAATCAGCAGTTGCAGCATGCTTAGAAACTGAAGTAGTATCTGAACTGAATTATGGAGTTAATAGAAATTACATTTCAGAATCCTCTCTTGATTCTGAGAGTCCTCAACAAGCCGAAGTATCACTGGATGCTAAAAAATCTCCTACATTTGACTGTAAAAAATTAAATGTCAATACTTCACCTCCTACCTTTGTTTCTGGAGCTGATATGCTGAACAAGTTGGAGATTCCTGTTTCAAAGGATGAGTGTTCCTCCATGCTTATTGAAATTGGGAGTGTCAACACTGCTGATATTTCTTACCAATGTCAAGAAGACAATGTAGCAAATCATGTTGAAGCTGCAGAGAGGAAAACTCCTCCTGCTTCCTTCCACCTTGAACATGCACCTGCAGTATTTGAACCCAAGGAAGTTGTTCCCGACAGTCAAAAATGCCAGAATCCCCAGGGACCTGAAATCACTGATGCCCACTTAACTGAAGTGGACCCGTTGAGCTTTGAGTCTAGAAGTCTCTGTAAGGATGACAGTTCAGTTTCATCTCAAGGGCTTAATAAAGCAAAGCTCACTCTTCCAAACACTAAAGTGAAAAAGAGCACTATAGATAAGTCTGATTCTCTTTCCTTGGAAACCAAAGCTGATAACATTGCTAAAGTGTTATCAAAAGCTGAAATTGGTGATCAAAATGATGTTCCTGTTGAGTCATGTTCTGGAAGAAGAAAAACTATAGCCCTACCCAAGGTTTCTGTTTCCCAAACAGAGCCCAGAATCATCATTCCTCAGGATAAAATATCTTTTACATCTGAAATTGCAGATGTTCCAGCAAAGCCTGTTTTGGCAGAATTAACTTCTTTAGACAAAGGTTTTCAATCCATGGATCATGATACTGAAAAGAAATGTTCTGATTTTGATCATAAAGAGAATCACACTGAGGCTTCTACTGCTGCTTCCAGTTATCAAGGTTTAAAGAAGACAGAGGTAGAAGCTTTAGGTGATCCTCCTGTTCTTCTTTTACTTCCTGTTCATGATGAAAAAGTCATTAAGCAAATGGAACAGAATGATGAAACTAACCCTTGCATAATTTCTGAACTTTCAGAGATTCATGGGACTGAAAAGACTTCTGGGCTCTCAGAAATGGCAGAACTCAGTTTAACTAATATTTCTTCAAAATTCCAAGAAACTGATAGCACAAAAGTAAATTCACTTTTTCTGGGTTCTGATGTAGGTTTGGGAAAAAATGCCCTTGGATCTGAGGATTCAAGCTTTCTTAATGTTCGTTTTGTGCAGAGATCAGAAGAGAAAGCCTCATCTCACAAAAAGAAAGACAATGCTCATTTTCTCTGGGAATGTATTGATAGTGCTACTGGTTCCACTAGTAACTTGGAAGAAGTTAGCATGGTTACAAGCTTACATAATCTGAAAGATAATATTTACTCTGAAAAAGTGTCCATAGACCTCACAAATGAAAGTGCCCCCTTGACTAACCTGCTATCCCCTAATAGCTCTCATTTGGAATTTGAAACACCTATCCCAACAGTGGCAGAAGTGAATCCACTTCAGGAACATTTTGGGATTCATACTAGGAAGGTATCTCTTGATTTCCCAACTGCCTTCCAGTTTGACAGTCTGAAGGAAGCAGAGGCTGGAGCAGTTGCTGGGGCTCCAGTGTCAGTTAACAGCTCATGCCAGCAGTGTTCTGAACCATCTGCTGACCACATAGAAGCAAGAAGAAGAGCATATGACCAACTTTTGGATCCCAAAAGTGGTTTACTTAAAAAGGCTGATAAGTTAATTGATGAGATTTTTAACTCTGTCAGAGAAGAACTAAAATATAAACCCTCAAGTGATCTCTTCCAGGGATATAGAGGCACAGACAGTATAATGAATCCAGGTACTCTGAAGGAAGACATACCTGAGAAAAACCCATCGGAGGAAGTGATGCCAACAGGGATCCAACTGACAGATCATTTAGAAGAACAGGGCATAGAAAACAAAGAGGAAGAAAAGGCCAGTGTTTTACCTACAGTTGGTGAGAAGAGTCTCCTTTTTGATTCTGATAAAATGTGTGTGTCTTATTTGTTAGAAGATCAAGCTAGAGAATTAGTTAATGAGATTATTTATTCAGCCCAAGAAAATTTGACACGTGATGCTTTTGAAGATACTAAGGATACTTGGGATTCTGAACTTCAGGCTACTACTTCAAAAATTCTGAACATTGATAGTGTTAAGTCACATGATAGAGTTAGGCAATTCCTGGTGTCAGAGCAGGCAGTAAACCAAAGCACATGTGAAATTAACGAAAATGAAATGTTAAGTAGATTATTCTCGGTAAGTAACTTCGTTAGTGACACAGAGTCAATAAAAGGAGGAGAAATTGTTCTCTACCAAAAATCCCCATTTTCTGGAAATGGAGTGGGATATACCGATGGTTTAAATTTGCAGGAATCAGATACTTCCTTTCTAGCTGAAGATATGCCCCATAAAGAGTTAGATGAGAGGATAAAAACACATTTACTTCTCAAAGAGGACTGTAAAGAGACAACTGAAATAGAGTGTGTGGATAAGCACAAAACTGAGACAGATACAAGAACTCTTGTTTTAAATTTCAAATTGCCTCCATTTGCGAATGATGATATCCATGCACCTGGCACATCCAAAAGCAGCTTGTCTGATAGTCTAGTATGTATATCTGAAAAAAGCTTACCAGGACACTGTAGTAAAACCACACCCCTTGCACTGTCAGAAGTAGGAAAAGTACACAAAAAGGATACTGAAGTAGATATAGGAAAAATTGAATTTATTCCTCCCATGTTAGAAATGGGGAAAGCAAACAGAAAGAATGTTGAACTGAATGTTACAAAATTTGAGGCAGCCTCTCCTATGTTAGGAATGGGAAAAGCACCTAAAAAGGAAGTTGAATCGGATAGCATAAAAATGGAGCCAAGAGCTAACATTTTTAACATGGGAGAAGTATACCAAATGGATACTGTGAGGTGTATTGAGAAAAATGAGGAATTACCTGTCATCTTAGGGATGGAAAACACTTACAAGGTAAAGGATACTGAAAGGGATATTGGCAAAACTGAAGTGATGCCTGTGATGTGTGAAATGAAAAATACCCACCAAAAAGATGCTGAAGGAATTACTGGGAAAACTGAAGTAATACCTGTTACGTTAGAAATGGAAAATATTTGCCAAAAAGATGCTGAAGGGGATGTTGCAAAGACTGAGGTGATACCCATTCCATTAGAAATGGAAATTATTTATCAAAAACATGCTGAAGGGGATATTGGTAAGACCGAAGTGACACCTTTTTTGTCGGAGGTGGAAAATATCTACCAAAAAGATTCTGAGAGGATTACTGAAAATGCTGTTACATTAGAAAGGGAAAACATTTGCCAAAAGAATGGTGATGGGGATATTGACAAGACTGAATTGGCACCTGTTTCATTAGAAGTGGACAATACCTACCAAAAAGAGTCTGAGAGGATTACTGAAAATGCTGAAGTGATACCTGTTACATTAGAAATGGAAAATATTTGTCAACAGGATGCTGAAGATGATATTGCAAAGACTGAGGTAACTCCTGTTGTGTTAGAAATGAAAAATACCTACCAAAAGGATGCTGAAGGGGTTATGAGGACAACTGAAACGTTACCTTTTATGGTAGATGTGAAAGGAGTGCACAAGAAGGCAGCACCTACCTCTGCCTTCTCAGAAATGGAAAAAGCATGCAGGAGGGATGCTGAGACTGCTGAGATAATTGCGGCCACGCTCCCTGTGATAGAAACAGAGAGAACATCCCCAGAGGATTCTGATGGGAATAGTGGGAAATGTGAAGCTTTATCTCCTATGTCAAATGTTGAGAAAACATATGCAACAGGTTTGGAATTGACCGTTACAGAAGCGGAAGCCTTGCTTCCCTCCCAATTTGAAGCCGAAAATGTACCCCAAGTGTATGCTGATGTGATTACTGGTGAAATGGAGGAAGAGCCCACTGGAGTAAAGGAAAGCTTAATAATGTGTGACAATAGATTTACATCGCATTTCAAGGGTTATGAATCACCTACATTAAGTAAGGATTATGAAGGCTATCCAGCCTTAGCAATACCTCATTTTCAACCTGAGGATACCCTAGTAAATCTAGACAAAAGAATGTCTGTTACTGCAGTAAGTAAGAAAAAGAAGCATCTAGACTATAGCAATGAAAAGGAACACTCTAACTTAGCCTTTGTTTCTCAGGATGAACAAGAAAACCCATCTTTTACTATATTATATGAAGAGCCCCTTCAAGATGAGGACAAGAATGCTTCTGCAGAAGTAAGAAGAACACGCTCTCTCTTGTTTCCTGATACGTGCGCTGACAGCATACCTGTTCTGGCATGTGAAAGGTCTGAGAGTAGAACTGACCTCGTCCATCATTTTGAAAAGGATACTAAATTAGGTGAAACATTTGATAGTGATAATTCAGAAATGTTCTTATCAGTGGAAGCCAAAAGGTACAAAATTTATCCCTTAGCTTTGTCTCCCATTTATGAGGATGACAGTTCTCAGGAGGACATTCTGTCCAGTGAGGTCTCTCCTGGTCACCATGGCTCCACAAAATCAAGAGAGAGTACAAACCAGTCCTCTTCTGTTTTATCACTTCTTCAATCAGTATCAGAGCGTTTAAAGATGAAATTTGATGAAGATGGGCAAGAGGCAGAGGAGGAAGGAGAAGGAGAAGAGGAAGAACTACTGCATAAAGGAAGTCTCACATCTCAAAGGAGAGAACATATTACCTTCCAGTTGCCAGATTCTCCGATTGCATTTTCCTCTGAAGATGACCAGGACAGGACTGGAATTTCTAGGAATTCAGATGCAATGTCAAATGAACCTACTACCTCCAATTTGCAGATCGGTCTATGGGCAGAAAAGGCCCCATTTCTACAAAAATCAGACCTTACTTCTAAACTACATTCTTCTTTAAAAAGTGCATATCATCAGTATTTACAGACTTCCAAGACCCATTCCTCAGAAAAAGGAGCCAGATTTGGTGGGAATTTTCAGGAACCAGTGTCTAAGAGTTTCCATGTTCAAGACAACTCAGCCGGATTAAGTTTATTCACAGAAGTAAGTTATTTTAATTATTTACTAGTTACGTATAGAGCTTTGAATCATGAAATGATCTGAAAACTTATAAGAAAACCCATGTTTTGAGGTTGTATAAGCTTTGTTTTTAAAAATGTCAGCAATATTTTTTAGTTAAAGTGTATCATAGCTCATTTATTTTAGCTAGACTTTTACACAGAAGAAAAATTAAGTCAGAATTTCAAAAGTATAAAAGAGGAACAACTTATTGCCTATCATCTGCTGATGTTTAGTTTTCAAAGTAAATAAATGACAGCATTCCAAATTTCTCAAGGTACTACATATGAGAAAGTGGTTGCTTTTCTTTTTGGCTTTATGTGTCTTGTGAAAATATTTCCATTGGACAAAATTAAATATTTCTTTGACAGCAACCTCTCACTTGAGTTGCTCATGTTCTTCATACATAGTAGGGTGGTAAAGAATCTAAGTCACAGCAAAAGAGCTGGAAACATTATTAAAAACACCAAAACCAAACTCACTGCCATCAGGTTGGATCTGACTCGTAGGGAGCCCTCCTTGGGTTTCCGAGGCGGTGTCACTATGGAAAGTAGATTGCCCAATCTTCCTTCCAAGGAGTGGGTGGTGGGTTTGAACTACCAGCCTTCTGGTTAGCAATCAGATGGCTTAGGCACTACACCATAGCAGGAAAATATTTTGAAATTCAGTAGCATTTTTCTTTGATTTAGAAATATTTGAATATCTAATGTAGAAAATGTATTGCACATGGGGTTTTCCTTTCTGATATTCTCAAGAATATCAGAATATCAAGAATATCAGAAAATATATTGCATATGGGGTTTTCCTTTCTGATATTCTCGAGAATATCAGAATATTCCCCAAGAATATCATTGGGGAACTTTCTCTGGGATTCCTGAGGGCTGGCTGTACTTTTATCTTGTAAAGCCTTACCAAAAACAAACTCATTGCCATAGAATCAATTCCAACTCATAGCGATCCCTACTTGGGTTTCTGATGCGGAATCTCTATGGAAATAGATTGCCCACTCTTCCTTCCGAGGAGTGGGTGGTGGGTTTGAACCGCCAGCCTTCTGGTTAGCAGTCAAGTGCCTTAGACATTATGCCTCTGATACTTCAGTACTAAGTGTTTGCAAAGCAAAGTCATTTTAAAAGAAATGATGAGATTTGGAAAACATGTAATGGTTCTTCAAAATGAATAAGTATACACACACACACACACACACACACATGAAAAAAAAAACAAACTCACTGCTATCGAGTTGGATCTGACTCATAGTCACCCCTCCTTGGGTTTCCAAGGCAATATCACGATGGAAGTACATTGCCCAACCTTCCTTCTGAGGAGGCTGGTGGGTTTGAACCACCAGCCTTCTGGTTAGCAGTCATATGCCTTAGGCACTAGCCACCAGAGCTCTGACAGACAGACAGGTAGGTAGGTAGGTAGATAGATAGATAGATGGATAGATAGATAGATAGATAGATAGATATAAAAACACTGCCATAAAGTTTATTCCAACTCATAGAGGTCAGAGTAAAACTGCCCTGTAGGATTTCTAAGGCTGTAATCTTTACAGAAGCAGACTGCCACATCTTTCTTCCATGGAGCAGCTTGTGGGTTCAAATTGTTGATCTTTTGTTTAGTAGCTGAGCACCTTAACCACTGTACCACCAGGGCTCCTTAGTGGTTCTCTGTTGCCTACCAAGTCAAGTGGAACCTCTTTGCTCTGTATTAGAAACTCTTCTAAGTTATCTTTTTCCAACCTTTTCTTCTGCACTATGGTTACACACTCCATGTTTCCTACCACTATGCTTTTTCACAAGGTGGTTATCTTCCTGGAATTTTTTTCTCTTCTGCCCCACCTCACCCTGCCACATGTTTTAATTTATTGAAATCCTGTTTTTCAAGATCCTCTAAATACCACTTCCTTAGAGTAACTTTTGAGTCTCCCTGTCCACTCACCTCCACACTGGCACCATTTCTTTTGACTTAGTAGCCTGCCATTTTGTTTGTATTTCACCTGTGGAGTTACCTTAGTCTTACACTTAAAAGAGTCATGTGAGTGTGATTCATATGTTTCCCCCTTTTAAGCTGTAAGCTCCTTTAGATCAGAAGCAATGCATTATTTTCCTTTATAAGGAGTTATGGTGTATAGTGGTTAAGATATTTGGCTGTTAACCAAACGATCAGTGGTTCAAATCCACCAACTGTGGCACAGAAGAAAGATGGGGCAGTCTGCTTCCATAAAGACTTACAGCCTTGGATCTAGATGCAATGGTAGGTCTCTCATCATGCAGAGCAAAGAAGAATGAAGAAAACCTAAGATTCATGGAAACAATTAGTCCTAGTGACTGGTACACCGTGTGATCTGCAGACTATGAGACCAAAGGAACTAGATGGTACCTGGCTACCATTGTCAACCAGTTGTTGGGGGATCTATATAGGAGATCCTGGATAGAGAGAGAGAACAATGTGGAGCAAAACTCAAAATCATTTGGAGAAAAACAAAAAGGGGGGGACCAGGTTTGCTGGTCCAATAGAGCCTGGTGGAACCACTGAGACTATGGCCCCTAGCTGCCCTTCAGGTCTGGAATTGAACCCACACCCGTGGTTTCCAGCCAAATAAAAGACAGGCATATGAATTGAACATGTACCTGAGGTAGATACACTCCTTGGAGAGAACAATTCATAGGAGAAAAAGGGCCATTTTTGCAGAGGGAGACAGACAGCGCAGGGGGCAAGAGTGCATGGAGGGATGGACACAGGGAAGAGGTAACTATCGGGAGGAAGTGAGGGGAGTTGTTGCATTGTGGTGAATTGTGGTCACTGTCATGAGACAAAGTGTATGTGAACTGCTGTGTGGAAAGTGAATTTTCTCTATAAATTTTCACCCAAATCACCAAAAAAAAAAAAAAAAATTACGGCCTTGGAAACCCAATGGGGATCACTATGAGTTGGAATTAACTCTATGGCAGTGAATTTGGATTTTTGGTTTATTTACCTTTATGTTCCTTGTAGCACCTAGAGAAGCAGCACATATATAATAGCCACTAAGTAAATATGTGGTTAATTGGTTTTGTGACTCCTAAGAAAGCAAGCTATGTATCTTACCATTGATGATTCCTAAGATTTATTTCTTCCACTTATATTATTTCAGAATGTTGACAAGCAAACTCTGAGGTGTATCCCACGCCCTGGGAAGGTAAGCATACGTTTCTCAGGGAGACAAAGATAAAATGTGAAAAGTAGTTGTTTTTAGGCCTGGAGAGCTTAATTGAGTACTCTTAACTAACTTAGAAAATAATTATTTTGGTCAAGCATTTAGCATCTAAAGTAATAATTTGGTTTTATGTATTTAGGATATTTTACTTTCTATATTCTAGAACATTTTGGAATATTAAATGCATTCTTAAAATTAGTTATTTTGCCTACTCACTGTATGTTGCAGATGGTTATCTATGATCTCCATGGACGTAAATGTAAACAAGAAATCTATGGTAATATTCCTGATGCTACATCATGGTCCTTTCCAAATGGGGTACTGATAAAAGTTGTAAGGGGCTGGTAAGAAATCTCTTAAAATTTTATAGCATATTTTCTGAAATTAAGTATGTTTATGTTTTTTGCTCTTTGTTATTTTGTGTGTCTTTAGTTAAAAAAATACCTTTCTTCTAGTTTTTGATAGAATATTTTGAAACATTATTTATAATTAGTGATATCCAGTAATTAGTTATAACTCAATTGTTTCCTTTATTTTCTATGGCAGAAAATACAGGCTGTGTATTATATTTAGAGTGAACATAAGAAGTAAGACATAATATATACACTCAATACCATTCTGGAACTGTGTTGTTAGTAGGATACCTTTGCCAACAGAATTGTTCTTCCATTGCCTCATTTTGTTAACCATGTATAAAATGGAGTTGAAGGCTTCCGTTGAGTGACGATAGGATTGAAAACAAGTTCAAAATTTGTGGGATGCTAAGGAATGTGAAGGCCACATAGTTAAAATCATTTGTATGGCAGATATACTCAAGGACTGAAGGATGCTTTGTGCAGTTGAAAAATGAGGGAGAGCTTCATTTGTTATATAGACCAGGTTCCATTGACATGTTGGAGCCAGAATTTCTTTGTCCAGTTTTTATGTTACCCACTGGTCAGTATTCACCTTGTAAACAGAGTGGTATAGTGGTGCCTTCATATAATAAAATGGGACACTTGTGATATATTATCCAGAAACAGAAAAATTAAGGTAGAAGTGTAATTTGTAGTTGTTAATCTATGGTTTTTAATATATATTGACAGCTTGGTGTATACGACATACAGAAAGCACATATATATATAAATATAGGCAAATACAGTTACTGTTGTATTATTTTTAGGAATTATTTTTATTTCTAAGTTCTGTTTACTTTTATTCTTTTTTAAATATTTGTACTTAAACTGACACTTTTCCGTGTTTAAAAAATAATGTATATGCTAACAATGACAAAGCCTAGCTTGAAACATTTGAGTCAATAAGATGATCTGTGAATGAGTATCATTTGTTTTACATCCCATTTCTTAGAAAAATAATAAAAAAGTGATCATTACCTTTATGTTTATGTAGCTGGATTTTATATGAAAAACCACATTACCAAGGTCAGAAATGTGTGTTAGAAGAAGGGGAAAAGGTGTTAAATCGTGACTGGATTCTTCAGAACAGAAAGCATCCACAAAGAAATTTTGTATTAGGCTCTATCAAACGTGTCTTAAAGGTAATATAACTATTGTCTCTTTTTTTTTTTTTTTTTTTGGTATTTAGTGAAGCCTGACAGTATTTAGAAATGTGTTGATTTTATTAATGTTCATTATCATGTTGATACTCTTTTGAATTAATGCATAAAAAGTATTATGTTGTTGTTAAGTGCCGT